GAACCGCCAGTTGGCTTTTGATTCTTAGCCTTGCACAGGCAGGGGTTCTGGGACACTTGGCAGGGTAGTTTGACTGGGCTGGATGCTTTCCCATTGCCGACCAGGGCAGTTGTGTGACCGTCAGATGTTCTCCTGGGCTGGTGGCCTGGGCTCTGACCTAGGCCATTCCCTAGGGGCCGTGGACAGCAGCCAGACCTCTTTGACCAGTGACATCTCCGATATTAACAGATATTTGCTGGGGAAAGGGACTTTCCCTGGGGACACCATGGTTTTGGCTGATGTCATCTCATCCCAGACACAGATCAATAGACGCCTCCATGAGATCGAAACACTGGAGGCTGAAGTGACTCATTGGAAGAAGTTGTGCCAGTGTTCCACCCAGGGACCAAATACCATCGACCCAGAAACAGTGTGCAAACTGAAGAGCCACATCAGGGACCTAGAGCAGCGGCGGATGCAGGAGATGGACGAACATCAGCTGGAGGTGGCAGGGCTGCAAAACGTCCACCGGCAGAAGCTAGCGGACCTCACCGACCGGCACCGCACACAACTAATAGACTATCAACGACGGGTGGAAGACCTGCAACACCAAGACGCTGCCAGGAACGTGAACCATGACCTTCTTGAGGAAAGGGAAACTGAGCTCCGAAGGTTGAAGCAAAAACTTACACAAATGCAGCGGCTGAACGACAGTTTGAACAACCTTGCGTCGGATCTGCGAGCAGAAAAGCAAAAGTTAGTCTGGGAGCTCCAAGATGTGAGACATCAGCTGGAGGAATCTGTTCTGTGCAACAGCGAGGATTCTCTGGAAAACAACATTGCTGTGAGGGCTTTAAAAATAGAGAAAGGGCAGTTAATGGCAAAATTGTGTCGGGCCGAAAAGAAGCTGTTGGAAGAGACAAACAAGTCTGAGTGAAGTCTCAAAGAATGGTCACTGGTAGAGCATGTGCATTTCATTCAACTCGGTCAAGAGAAAGACCTGGAAATACGTCCATCGAGCAGATGGACGCCGACCATCAAGAAATGAAGGAACTGCTGTCCTTTGCTTTGGAGGAGCAGAAGCAATTGACACAATGCGTCAGAGAGCAAGATGTGTACATTGAAGAGTTTAGAGAAATGCCAGCGCTTCAGGAGGAATTCGGTAAGTCGACCGAAACCTTAAGAAGCAGTGACATTTTACAGCCATCCGTGGAGGACAAAGACATGCGTCTCTCCTATCCATGACAGAAGAACATCCTCATGTGGATGGAGACCTAGAGCACCTAACACAACAGAGTTGCACTGTCCCTGTGGTTGATCCTAAAATCCTAGGCGAGATTGTAGAACTAGCGTATGAGGTCTTTCAGCTCAACGAGTTAAAAGATGATCTCGAGGAAGAAATAAAAGAACAACAGAAGATCATTCACAACCAGCAGCAGGGGAAGAGAGCGCTGCTTCGGTCCTTATAGGAGCAGAAGGAGAAAGTGGACCGTCTTCAACACCGGCAGGAGGAGATGAACACTGAACACGCTCAGCTCCTTGCAGTGAAAGACGAGATGATTCAGAATCTGCAAGTCACGCTAGAAGAGCTGAAAATCCACAAATTCCGAGAGAACCCTGTGAGGATGAGGAGGTGCGAGCAAGCCAGCCTCTCCCCAGAGAGAACAGAAGTGAAGAGCGTGATCCATCTAAAGCCAAAATTCAAAGATTAGTCCAAAGAATCAAAGAACAGGAGCTGGAGATGAAGCTTCTCACTGAACAGAACATCCGACTGACCGAGCAGGTGGATCGGCTCTCCAAAGAGGAGGTCGGGAAACTCACTCGGATTATCCAGCAAAAGGATGTGGAGATTCAGGGTCTTTCCAGTAGAATCTCTGCGGCTTCTCACAGCCAGAACGGGCACGTGGAACAACTTCAGCAGCAATTGCAAGAGTGTGCTTTGAAAAGTGAACAGATCTTGGCCGTCCTAAATGAGAAGACGAGGGAGCATAGCAATCTGAAAAGGGACTATCACGAAATGACCCATCGACTTGCTGCCAAGGAAGCAGACCTCCAGAGGATGGAAGAGGAAAATCAAAAACCGTCCACTAGAGTGGAAAAGCAGAGGCCAGGGGGTGTTTAAAGAAATGATTCGGAATTTGTCTCACATTATTCGAGAACAAGACCTGGAAGTGGATGCGTTAAGTCAGAAATGCCAGACTTTATTGATGATCCTGCAGACACCTAGCACTGGTCATGAGGTTCGAGGAGTTCGTATCGATCAGTTTCAGCAGCTTCTACAGGAACAGGACACGTTAACGCAGCGAGTGAAGATCATGGAAGAGTGGAAAGAGCAGGTGCTGACCATGGTCCAAAATATGAAGCGAGAGTCACCCCAGCTTCAGAGAGATCTGCGACAACTCCAGGCGTGGGCTTTCACCAACAGTGAGAAGGTTTTGAAACTCCAGACGACCTCTCTTGACCAGATTCAAACTTCCCAAGGACATGAAATAAACTTACAAGAGCTAGAGAAGGAACTGGCACAACTTCAGCTCCGCATCGGGGAGATTTGCAAAGCCAAGGACCTCCTTTCAAGGAACCTTGATGTGATTTTCCTCCGGCCCTCCAGTGACTCCACAGAGGCAGCCAACTCTCTAAAGGCCGTGAAGTCTGACCTAGTGAGTGAGTCTTCTCAGGTGCTCCAAGAGGAGGTAGAAGAGCTCAGAAAATCAGGGCAAGGAAAAGATATAATGATCTGAACCCTCCAGGAAGATCAGCAGAGACAGATTGCTTCAGGGGCTGCCATGGTGGAAGGAGAAGGCAAACCACAGGAACACAGCAATTCCAGTTCCCACATGGAGCAGCGGAAGGAGAAACAGGCTGTTCTACAAAACTTCCTTCAGGCTCAGGAGCTCCAAATCCATGCGAAAAGTGAGGAGCTGTTTTCTTCACAGGAGAAGCTCAGTGGCCAGCTGAGTGAGAATGAGCTGCTGAGGCAGGCAGTCACCAATCTGAAGGAGAGGATAGCAGATTTTGAAGTGGATGTGTGTTGGCTGAAAGAGGAAAATGCAAAGATCGTGGAAAGATCTAGAGAAAGGGAAATGGAAAATCAGGCGTTGCAAGAGACAAATCGGCTGCTTTCAGTGATGCAGGGAGTGGAGGCATCCCAGCATGCCTTGATGAAAGAGAAGGCACTCGAGTTGGAGCAACTCTTGCAGGAGAAAGAACAGGGCGAGACGGGGGAATTGAACCGGCTCATCAACACTGTTTAGTCAATGCAGAAAAAGACAGTTGTGTGTCAACAGGAGAGAGATGACGTCGTGTTGGCACTGACACAGAAAGAAACGGAAACCTGTGCCCTCCAGAAGGAGGGTCACCAGTTACCAGAGAGAGAATTGTGCCTAACCCAGGAGCTGGAGAGAGGGCGGCACCTCACTGCAGAAGCGGAAGATTCTCCTCCCCGGGAACCTTTGGCCTCAGAAGACCACGTGGCTCAGCTGAGAGAGGAAGTGATGGTCCTGTGGGGAAAACTCGTTTTGTCTTCTGCTGCCATGGAAAAGGCCAGCAGAGGAGCCAGTCTGCAGGTAGAGTTGCCGCGGGAGCAGTTGCACGTGGTCACCCAGCAGGAGGAGGAAGCTGCGCTCCGGCTTGCCGCCTCCCAGGAAGAGGGAAGGCACTATGATCGACGACTAGTGAACCTCAAGCTGGAACTCGCCGAATGGATGGAAAAGGCAGACGCCCTAGAAGGAAAACTGAAGTCGTTACAGGGACGATGGCATCAAACAAATGCCGACCTGGAGGTGAAGGAGGACCAAGTCCAAGAGTTCAAGAAACAGAATGAGGTGCAGCGGGAAATACTGGAGGACACACAGAAGAAACTCTTGACCTTAGTAAGTCAGGCCGAAGGAATGGTGGACAAAACCCTCCTAAGGAGGCTCTTCGTGGGATCTTTGCAGGCAGCTGATGCGCAACGGCAGGAAGCGTTGAGGCTGATGGCAAGCGCGCTGGGGATCCGAGAAGACCAGCTGCGGCAGCTGCGCGGCCAAGAGCCCGCGGGTGTGCCCAGCGGGGCGACTGGGGGGCCTGGATCCAAAAGTGCCCCATTATACCTTGGAAAGGATCCACTCGGATTTCCTTAAGGACCCCATTCCATTAATTTTCCATTCTGCTATATCTTCAGCCTGCCAAATACGGTAATTCCTTCCCTGACTTCCTGTTGTCAGTGCTCTGATTCACCCACTGCTGTCTCAGTCTGGTGCAGTAGACTGCCTACTGATCTTGCTGGTTCCACTCTTGGCCTCCCTTGAATCCATTCTGCACACTGTCAGGGTGAACTGAGATGAAAATGTGATGTTCCTTCCCTGCTGTAATTATTGGAGGGTTCCCACTGCCTGGAGTTTGACCTTTAAGAGACCATCCAAGCCCTTGCCTTTGCAGCCTTCCTTCCTCTTCATCAGTCACATAAAGACTGCCGTTTAGCCCCAGGTGAATTCTTGCAAGCCCCCAATAGATTATTATCCAAATAACTTCAAGCCCATGAGCCTCATCACTGTGCCTTGACAAAGGTACAAGTGAGAAAGATTTCATTCTTCTCTTCTTCACCAATTGGTGAAGGGAGTGATTCCCACCCTAAAGTTATGGGATGTCCAGATGCTGCACAGCTGAGCTCCACCGTAATTTATTACCAACCAATCCTCATGGCCCAGGGAAGGAGGACACACACACCATGAAGGGCCACAGGGGGACATTGCACTTGGGAACAGAATGAACAAGGGCTGTGGGTGCAGACTATGTAATAACAGGAGAGCGAAGGTGAGCCCTACTTCCTGCAGGAGGGACTGATTGGCTTGCTGGATCATTCCACAGGCTGTCAGGGAACTGGAGCTTACTTGGGGAGAAACTGTGCCTGGTCCCTGTGCTAAGGAGGGCTTGTTAGCCAGAGGATCTGATCCATGGGAGCAGAGGGCAAAGGGAACCGGAAATGGGGCTATTTGCAGCCCTCTGACATTACCCAATGCCAAAACAACACTGCCTATTGAATCTTAATCTCATCTTTCCATCACAGTGGACTCTGATGTTTGGACATCAATTTTAACCTGGGACTGAGACTTTTAAGGCATAGGACAGATGCTTCTCAAGGAAGTGAAGTTGTAACGTGACCAGGAGGGAGACATGATCATCAAAATCAAAATGTAATAACTCCCATTGATGTTCATGCAGTTGATCCCATGGAAATCCCTGGGTGGCCAACGGGTAGGAGGAAGAGCTGACGTCCTCCAGCACCATGGAATCTGGCAACGCACTGTGGACAGAAGCCGCCACCTCCACCTGCAGGTAGGATATGCAGACTTTGGCTTCAGCCTGTAGCAAGTGGGCCTTGGTGACTCTATGAAGCTGGTGGGGGTGCCATAACCCAGAGAATAATAGACAGGAAGGCTCAGAGTCTGTGAGGGACTCTGTTTCCAAAAGAGCCCAGAGCTTGGCCAGCAATTGCTGCTTTCATGGTCTCTAACCAGGGCCAAGGAGGGCTGTTTCTTGCATTGGAAGCCCATGGACAATTGACAGATAGCATGGGTGGTCCAGGGACTCCAGGAAGCAGGAGAGGAGGCTGCTAAAGCCTTTTCACCTGGGCACTAACAGGTGATTTTTTTTTTAAAAGCTTTTATTTATGTAGTTAAGAGAGAGCTCTGGCTGTTTGAGGGGGTGAAAGGGAGAGGGAGAAGCAGGCTCCCCACCGAGCAGGGAACCCCCTGCCAGGCTTGATCTCAGGATCCTGAGATCAGGACCTGAGACAAAGGCAGATGCTTCACCAACTGAGCCACCCAGTCACCCCCAACAGTTAATTTTTGCTTGCACAGATCCTAGAGCCTTTTGTTGAGGAGAGACCCACCAAAGTGGACTCATTGAGAAGTAACAGCTAAAGAAGCAATATGTCACCTCCAGAACCCAAAAAGTACTGAACGATGTTGGACTTCCATGTCCCTTTTTCCTAAAAAAAATTTTGATTTAGGGATGCCTGGGTGGCTCAGTTGGTTGGGTGTCTGACTTTGGCTCCGGTCATGATCCCAGAATCCTGGGATCAAGTTCCGCTTCAGGCTCCTTGCTTGGCGGGGAGGCTGCTTCTTGCTCTGCCTGTTCTGCCTGCAGCTCTCTGTGCTCCTGCTCTCTCTGACACATAAATAATTAAAAAATCTTTTTAAAAATTTTTATTTAGTTACTTGAGAGAAAGAATACACAAGGGGTTGGTAAGGGCAGAGGGAGAGGGAGAAGGAGACTTCCTGCTGAACAGGGTGCCCAATGCAGGGCTTTTTTCCAGGACCCTGAAATCAGGACTTGAGCCGAAGGCAGACACTTAATGATCATAGCCACCCAGGGCCTTGGAGTTGTATGTCCTTAATAAGTGTGTCAAACAAATGTCCTCACAGTAGGATGTCATAAATATGATGTCACACCTGGAGAAAAATGGGTGCAGTGAGATCCTCCCCCAAAGAATGATTCCCTGTGATAGCAGAGCGGTTTGGGTGCCCTGTGCATAACAAGGTAAATCGTGTCTCCTTCTAGGTCAAGACACATGTGACTGAGAGGATGTTGAAAGAGGAATCTATAATAATAAAATATTCACCATCGTTAAATCTGGTGGGATCCCGGGTGTTTTTTTTTTTTCTTTTTAAGATTTTATTTATTTTAAAGAGAAACATAGAAGGACAGCAAGAACTAGTGGGGGCAGGGATGGAGGGAGAGAGAATTCCAAGGGGATTCACCATGAGAACAGAACTGAACATGGGGCTAAAGCCTGTGACCCTGAGATTATGACCTGAGCCAAAAGTTTAACCCACTGAGCCCCCCCAGGTGTCTCAGATGTTTTAAAGGGACCGGAGTTTATTTTAATCAGGTATGGTAAGACAGGCAGATGTACAAATAACTCTCACAATGGAAGAAGCTGTTTAGACGCACAGATCCCAAGAAAGGAGGTCCCGATTGCCATGGAGGGCTGCCCAGGGAAGCACCAGGGTCAGTCAGGAGAAAGAGGGAGTGAAGAGACAATGTGGGCAAGACCCTTTATTGTGGTTTCCATGGGAAGGGGCACGTGAGTCTGGGTAAGCAAGTTTAAGACTGCCTTGTTTGTGTCATTTCAGTGGGTTCTGGGACACAGTGGTGTCGGGGGTAGTCTGTCCCTGCACCTGGGATGATCAGGGCAAGGGATAGTGGCCCAGAGTATAAGAGTGTCTTAGAGGAGGTGGTTGGGGGTAAAGTCTCTGAATTGGCTGGTTTACCTGTGAAAGGTTTGCTGTCAGGCAAGCTGTTGTTCATCTCTGGAAATCAGCCAGACCTGCCAGAGACAGTCCCTCCAATGTCAGCAAGGCCTGAGATGTCAAACCACTAAATACAGAAGCTGCAAAATATGGTCACTCTACCAGGTATAACCATAATTTGAGCCCTTGTATTAAAGCTAAGAAGGTTAGCCAACTAGTGCTGCTTAGCAGACATTAAAGTTAATTCAGAACCTATATTGTAGAGGCACAAAAGCCAGTCGGCCTCCTTTTATCCTTTGCCATATAAATTTTAATAAATTTTGGATTTCCGTTGGGCCAAATTGTGAACCTATGTTGAATTAATCTGGGTTAGGGTAGGGTTTTTCCTCCTGTATCCAAGTTTTCTTTCTTTCATTCCACCTTTTTTTTTTTTTTTTCCTGACTTGTTTCTTCCTGGATATACTTGTTGGGGGAGGAGTGTCTTTTTACCCTGCTCATCTTTCTCTGCATCATCATCATCATCATCATCATCATCATCATTTTTGTGCTAGGATGATCATTTTGTCCATGGCTGCGTTGGGAACCTCAAGCATCTGGATCACCAGTTGAGTCCTATGACAAGCTGGGGAGCAACAACATTAAGAGAAAGCCAAGTGTGCTGGTGAGGGGTTTGGCACTTGGAGAGAAGTAGAACACCAAACGTCCCTCCCTTCACTTTCCTGTTTTTTCATCAGCTCGTGGGCCCTGGGCTGCCATGGATGTGCACCTCAAAACCCTGAGTGCTCAGGAAGACACATGGTAACAGAGAGAGCAGCAGCAGCTCGGGAGATAGGCAAGGCCACTCCCATTGCCTGAACCATGGTGACTCAGGTGGCAGCCAGGGAGCCATTCTTACATTTCCCTGGGGTCAGGGCCTCCCTCCTTCCCACCCATAACACAGACGGTCACCCCCAGGACTGTGTTTGGGGTGTGCTTTCCCCCTTAGGATCTGCAAGTCAGCCCCAAGCACTGGCCCAACACCCAGTCCCTGGAACTCAAGCACACCAGTCAGCATGTCCTGCGGTTGTCAACCTCAGGGGGAGCCTTGGAGACCAATACAGGCCACATGCAGGTCACATAGGTGACACCTCCCTCCTAGATACAGTCAATTCTCATTCATTCTCATCTTGTTGTCAAGGATGGGACATTAGTTTGGAAATGGGTGGCGACCTCCATGTGAGATAACAGAACATGAGCCAACACACGAGCTGGCCAGGGATTGCCTGGTCCATCCCAGATCATGATTGTCACCTCTGAAGCCAGTTAGTTAGTGAAGGAGCAGGTCAAGCTGACCCCGTGTCCTCATTTAACGTGGGGCCACCCTGTTTGTGATGCCACTTGTTTTAATCACCTTCTCCTGAGGTCCCTGATGAGAGAGAGATTCTTGCTCCAGACTTGGGATCCCCTGACATCCGACACATGTGATTAACAACAGTTTACTAGTTGCATATACTCACACTTCAGGGGAGGAGGATACCACACTGTGCAGGACTGCACAGAGATTGGATTGCGCTTGGGAACAGAGAGAACCAGCAGGGCCTTGGAAGGCAAGACTTGGTTGAGACAAGAGGGTGTGGCAAGTCCTGGTTCCCATGGGAGGGTGTGAGTGGCTACCTTGAAAAATTCAGTGGGCTTCTAGGGAACTGAACCCTGCTCCCCAAAAACCAATAGGCTCTATATCTAGTTCCTGTGATGAGAAGGGTATTTGGTTAAGAGACCTTCCCTGTGAGGGAAGAGTGAGAGGAGAACATGCATGATGCCATTTGAGTCCCTCCTTGATTTTCCAGGTGTCAAGACAGCCCTTAATATGGAATCTTAATTTCAGGCCTTATGCCACAAGAGGGTATGACAAAGTAATTCTTCTTAGAACTAATAATGGAATTTCACAGTGAAACAGTATACAGGGTAAACACATAAAGGTACGTTGTGTTGCTATATGTAGCAATGAATATGTGGGCTCCACAATCAAATACACATTCACAATTACTCGTACAAAGAAACTACTTTGGGATAAATCTAACAGTGCATGTCCAGGAGTCACATGCTGAAAGCTATTTAGCATTGATATAGGAAATCAAAGATATAAATAAATGGAGAGATACGCCATGTTTGTGAATTGGAAGTCTATGTATAATAATGATCTTCATTCTCCCCAGATTGACAGAGGTTTTTTTTGTTGTTTTTTTTTTTTGTAAAGACAGAAATATATTAAAATGTATGTGGAAAGACAGAAGAGGGCACCTGGGTGGCTCAGTGGGTTAAGCCTCTGTCTTCAGCTCAGGTCATGATCTCAGGGTCCTGGGATGGAGCCCCAGATTGGGCTCTCTGCTCAGCAGGGAGCCTGCTTCCTCCCTCTCTGCCTGCCTCTCTGCCTATTTGTGATCTCTGTCTGTCAAATAAATAAATAAAAATCTTAAAAAAAAGACAGAATTAGAGTACCTTCAAAAACAGTTTTGAAAAAGAGTAATTAAGTGGGGACATTCATTCTACCCAGTTTCAAAACTTATTAGATAGTTATAATAAGGAAGACTGTGGTATTTGTAGGACAGAAACATAAATCAATAGAACAGAACAAAGAACCCAGAAATAGTTTCCATAAATATACCAACTGAGTTTTTATAAAGGGTGCAAAAAAATTCTATGGGGGATAGCAGGCTTTCCACCTGACTATAGCCATTTAAAGCTTGTGATGAAATCACAGGCGCCAGACTCAGAAAACAGCAGCAGCAGAGAAGGAAGATGTTGGTTTGACTGAGGTCCTACCAGATGGTAATGGGAAAGGAGGGGTAGTTTGTGCCCAGCTCATGATGCAATCTCCAAGCGCTGGATGACAGTTTCTTTCATTTTTCTGAGTCAAGGTACTTCTGATCCATCATTTCCACAGGATCTGGGGATTTTCCCATTAGCTCCCACACTGCAAACTGAGGTCACCCCTAACTGAGCATCCAGTGCTCCAGACTCCATTAGCCTTCCCATTAGCATCATTGTCAGCCTATATGAGGTGATCATTAGGTAAATAAAGATGTTTTCTAAGAAGTCCAGTACAAAATATATGTAAGGACCATCTTAAATATGCATAATAATGAAACACAGGTGAACCACCAGAACTTGAAAAATGATTGAAATGTGTCGTAATCCTTCCCCCCCAGGATTCTACCCATCCCCTCCCTACAGGTCACAAATGTGGTGATTCTTGTTTCCCCTCCCCCATTCCTTTCTTCTTCTGTATAGTATTTTATCATATAGGCGCACTTCTCTGAACATTCGTTTTCCTTGGTTTGAACTTTATAAAAATGTTCTGTTCCCTTCCTTCACTCAATAGTATGTTCCTTAACTTCAGCCATTGATGCTTGTAACTGGCAGTTGTAGTTCGCGTTCATGTTCGCACGATTTTGCATTGTACCACTTTTCCACACATTCCTTGTCCACATTTGAAAAGGTTATGTGCGCAAAGCCCTTACTTAGCAGAACTCCTGGCCCACAGTCAGCGCTCCATGAACATTTGCTCAGTGGTTGAGACTGAACCCCAACCAACTTGTTTCCCCTGGCTGGATTCTCTGTGCTTCGCCCCAAAGCTGAGGATCTTGTAGCTCTTTCCCCCTAGGAATGACAGAAAATGATCTGAACAGCAAGAAAAAACCTAGCGCACTTCCCACGCACCCGTGACTACAACTCCCAGAAAGCATTACGGTGCTCCATAGAGTCCCTTTCTGTTTACTCCACAGCCCGCTCACCCCCTCCACCAGAGCTTCCGGGTTGTGTGGGCTGGGCCACATCTTTTCTATTCAATGAGTCCTTCCGCCAGCAGAGGGGAGGAGAAATTATCCAATGAGCGTCTTGGCAGAGGCACCAATGAGCCGGGGTGTTGTTATGCGAGCTGACAAGGGGCAGGGGGTCGCTGAGCCAATTTGGTTGAGCGCCATGGAACCAGCTCTTCTCAGCTGCGTCTCAGAGGCTGGCGCTTCCCTTCGGCTTCTGTGGAACCCCGGGTCCATGTCCCCAGTGGACACAGCATCCCGGAACCTCCACGCCCATGGCCACTAGCTGGAGGACGTCCGCTTTCACCTCATGTTCTTCCGCCTCGACAGACACAGACAACGAGGGAGTGCGCGGCATTTGTGAAGATGCTTCTATGTGCAAGAGGTACCTGCGGGGCGCGGGGTCAGGGGCCGGTGCCCCCACGGGGTTGGGGCCTCGGTGGGAGGCGGGCCTGTGTCTCAGGAGCACGCTCGTTCGCCAAAAGGTAGCTGTCACCTCGTGCATTCCTCATTTCCAACCTGTGAAGAGCCCAGAGCCGGGCTTCATTAACGGAGCCGCTAATTATCTCACCTGTGCTGTGCGCGGGGCCTGGGGATAGCGGGACTGGGGATGCGACCCGAACCAGGCAGACGGGGTGTGGGCCTTCTTGGGGCTAAGGTCTTGGTGGAAGACCAACGTGAACCGAGTAAGTGTCGTCTTGACGGGGGAGAAGTTCGGGTTCTCCCTCTTGAGTAGATTACATTCCACTGGGGGTTGTCAGGATCCCCATCCTGCACCTGAGATCAGGCCAAACAAGGCCGGGGGGGTTCGGAGGGAGTGCGGGCCTGGGACCGCGTGATATTGGTGGACAGAACCAGTACTTTCCAGAGCCCTTGCGTGGAGGCCACTGGAGTCTACATTCTCAGGGGTGTAGTGGGGGCAGCGTTGTGAGCACAGATGTGTGTCACATATTGGCAAGCACGAGGCTGGAGTGTAGTTCGTTCAACAGAAATTGTTGAGTGTACTTTGTAGTGGGACTTTCATTCTCTGTATAACATGGGCGATGGGATGGGTCCTGCTTCACAGAGAAGATGGAAACCCTTCAGACTGGAACTTCATGAATGTCCCTCTGAGAAAGGGAACAGTTCTTTCCCCCCGTGACGGGTCAGTGTCCTCCCCAGAGGCCACTGGGAGCACACCTGTCCTTAAACATAGTGGGTTCATTACACATCATGCAAGCTGTGAGGCTGATCAGTAAGATAGTTCTGGGATTAGCTAGCTCTATCAGTCTTTTCTAGAAGGAGGTGTGAGTAGTGTGAACAGTGTCATTCAGAAGGAAGGCACTCACTAGTATGAGCCAGGAAAGAAGATGATTGGTATTTTGTGGTGGGCACGACTGCCTGGTTTTGTGTGTTTGGACAAGAGAGGAAGTGGGCCTATTTTGTCTCCCTTCCTCACTGTGGTCAGGTCACCTTGTGCTGCTGTTCTGCGAGGTCGTTTGTGTCCAACAGGGGAACCACATGCCTCTCTGTGCGCTACCAGCCATGCAGCCTTGCTCATGGTGCCAGGCCACCTCCTCGATGTCAGCACTGCTCTTCCTTCTTGCCCAGTGGAGGAGGGAAGTCTTCAAAAGACAAACAGGTGTTTGCCAGACAGGAGAACTAGCCTGGACACTGAAGCCCAGGGCTGTGTCAGCGGCACCTGACGTTGTGTTGGGGAGCAGGTAGCAAGAGAGTGTTCTGGAGAGGCTGTCAGAGAGTGAAATGTGGGAGGACCGATGGGTTTCAAGTGGGGTAGGTGATGTGCTCTGGGTTTTCGACCATCCCCAGGAGCTGCGTGGGAGCTGCACTGGTGACAGAGGGCAAGTCTGTTCCCTTTTCCTTCCCTGTGGCCACACCCCTGGCTCAGGTCCCTTCTCCTGCCTGCTCTGTTGCAACACACCCTTCTCGTCCTACCTGCTTCTCGTCCAGCTCCTTCTCCCAACCACATGCTCCTGCTCTGGCCAGGGTGATCTTTTTTGGAATCCCACATCTTCTGTTACTGGAAACCTTTTGATTCATCATCGGCAACAAGGTGAGACTCTGCATTGCATGGCGTGACTCACTTTGCTTTTCGTGGTCCTCTCACAGTACCATGGGTTTTCCGCTACTGACTGGAAGTCTGCTTTTTGATGTCTCAGAATTATTGCAGATCCATTCTTTCTAAAACTGTGCTCAAGATCCGCTTCCTGTATTTTCCCTCTTGCCACCCCAATCCCCCAACTCTGAATGGGGCTACTGTGTCCTTCCTCTCCCATGTGCAAAAGGGAGGAGTAATCTCAGAACTCTGCTTTTACTTTATTTCCCCCTTATTTGATCATTCACCCAGACCTGTGGTTTTATCTGCTAAATATTCCTGGAATCTACCTCCTTTTCTCCATCTTTGCTTCTGCCCTTTTTGTCCCAGTTAAGATCATCTGTGCTCAGAGCCATGGCCCTAGTGTGCTTAGTGAGCTTCCAGACTCTTCAATCTCCCCCAGGTCCCTATCTCCCTGGATGCCAGAGCTTTCAGGAAGGCCCATTCAATTATGTCACTGCCTAGTTTCCTGACTTCTTTTTGCCATTGGAGATGGATGCAAACTTTCCTTCTGTATCTGCATGGCTGCTCTGTCCCCCTTCTTCCATCTTGTTTCCCACTTGCCTTCTCTGCCTTACAATATCTGGTCAGTCCTTCCAATGTGCCCTGTGCCTGCTGGCCTTGGGGCATTTCAGCCGCTCCCTCTGCCCGAGATGCTTTCTCCCCCACCCCCCTCACCTCATGAGCTCTCATCTCCCCTCAGATGAATGCAGTCACTCCACATTCTTTACTGAATACTGGCTCAGTTGCCCAAGGCTTGGTTCTCTTGTGGTTCCAGACATGACCCAAACAGACCAGGGTGGAGCAGTTAGCGAACCTTTCTTCCAGGGAGAAAAGCAGCCAGGAGACAGAGAGGCAAGGAATCAGGTATGTCAGTTGGATGCTGTAGGAGGGTTGGAAGGGGCTGTCATCTGAGCTGGGATGGCCAGGGAAGGCCCCCTGAGGACAAAGATGGGGAGAGCCTTGCAGGAGGTGAGGGAGTGAGCCCTGTGCATGTCTGTGGGCACAGTGTCCCTGGCAGGGGGAAGGGGGAGTAGGAAGGCCTCCATGGAGAAAGCTGGGCTGACTTGTTCCAGGAATGACAAGGCCAGAGTGAGGGAGAAGGGGGTGTTAGAGACCTGGGGTGGGAGCCACTGACAGGGGGATTTTGAAGTGAAGAATGAAGTGACCTGACTTGGGTTTTATTGGGATCACTTCAGCTTCTCTGTTGAGAACAGTGGGGGTGGAAACAGGGAGATCAGTAGGAGGCTACTGGAATATTCAAAGAGAAGAGATGCTGTTGGGTTAGATCAGGGTGGTTGGTAGGTGTGGAAGTGCTGCTGATCGACCCGAGTCTGGGTACATGTTGAAGGAAGAGCTGATGGGATGTGCTGACAGATCGGATGGGGGGGAGGCCCATGAGTCAAGAAGGTGCCCAGCCTTCTGGCTCTTCCAGCTCATGTTGGATGTGGCTCCTTCCGGAGGCCCCTGACACCTGCAGACACGGTCCAGCTCACTATCTCTTCTCTGTGCATGTGGCAGTCAGTCCCGTTGCAACACAGACATCTGGTTTAATGATTGTCTACCCCATGGGAATAATGGTGCCTGGAGGGACCATGTGTGTCTCAGTGCCTCATGCCCTGTAGACCCCAGTAAGTACTTCTCAGCCACCAGAGTGATGAGGAACTGAATGTAGATGCTCAAGGTTCTGTTCCCTGATGAGGTCTCCAAATTGCCATGTTCTGTTTCACTGGTTTTTAGTGGTCTGTGTGTTTTAGAAAGCAGGCCAGGGGCTGTAAGACTGAATTCCATTTTGAGAATTCCAAAAGTTAATCTGATGTCAGCCACATTGAAAATCACCCCCCTTGACGTGCAAGTGGGTCACAGGATCACCTCTTGGGAGAGGCAGCATTTTCCGGACAGCCTAGGCCTTTGCAGCACAGTGTTGGCATCTACACAGCTCAGCCCAGAAAGCAGGGTTGAGATTTTGATCTGAGATGTTCTGAAGGTGGGGGCGGCTGTTTTCCCTCTCCAGAGAAGACGTGTCACTTTAGAATGAGAATATTCTCAGGTTCCTGGGTGGTTTAGTGGGTTAAGCCTCTGTCTTCTGCTCAGGTCATGATCCCCGGGTCCTGCTGCTCAGCAGGGAGCCTGCTTCCCCCTCTCTCTCTGCCTGCCTCTCTGCCTACTTGTGATCTCTCTCTCTCTCTCTCTCTGTCAAATAAATAAAAATAAAATAAAATAAAAAAAGAATGAGAATGTTCTCATTCTTTGGAGGATAAATTATTTGCCAAACTTGCCCATGAAGAAAGTCAAATAAATCATGGCTTTTCTGGATTTTCGCGCCCCTCCCCCCATTTTTTTCTCAAATGGAACAAATTAAATTTTAGAAAATACCTGTGAAAATCAATGGTCTCAGATCTATAGTACTAATTATTTTTCTTATATGGTTAATTTTTTTTAAGATTATATTTTTAAGGAATCTCTGTACCTAACTTAGGCTGGCTCTCCTAAGCCTCAGATCAAGAATCACATGCTCCAACTGAGCAAGGAAGGTGCCCCTTCAGGATTAACTTTTCAAATAACAAAAGTGGGTACATTTCCCCCACTCTGTAACCTAATTTGAATAATCTCGGCATATAATTTTTTGCCTCATTTATTTTTTATTGTCTCAGTGGTATTCCTCAATGTGATTGTACTGTATGTGACAATATTTATGTTTGTCATTTTGGTGTCTGTGTATTTGTTATTAAGATAGGGCTGTGATGAACATTTTTGCATGTGTGTTTGAGTTTTCCAGTGAGATGGGTTTCAGGGGGGAAGCTTCTACGAAATGGGGTCCTCAAAAGAAACCCCACCTCGATTTGTACAGAGGGCATTTTAAAGAGAGAATGAAAAAGTAAGGCCAGGGATGAGTAAAGTCAGGGGAGGAACAGATGACAAAAAGTAGAATAGGTATTGGTCCATATGAAACTGCCTATATTTGCTCACTGGGAGACAAGGGCTCGACTTTTCAGTGTTGATTGAACAAACAGCAGATGCCTTGAGTTTTTCCCTCAGGCAGGCACTAAGGGGGACTGGTGTTGTCGCAGGGTTGGGACCTAGTGCTGTTAGAAACTATGTTAATGTTTGTTCAAGTTTGAATATGATAAGCCAGGTTTGAAAAGAGGGCTCAGAGCAGTCTGGCTAGAGTTTGGTCAAGGAAAGAGTCTTCCTCAGTGTAGTATCCTCCTTTCTATGTAGTGTGTTTAAACCTTGATTTGTTCATCTGTTCATCTGATGATTAGACATTTCGTTGTATCCAAGTTTTTGGTCATTGTGAATAGGCTACAATAAACTTTCTTACAGAAGTCTTAAATTTCTCTTGAAATTGTTAGTGGGATTGCTTAGTCACAGGGTGGGGATATATTGAAGTACTAGCCTAGTTTCCAAAGTGATTGATCAGTTTACACTTCCCACCAGCAATATAGTGACATTCCAGTTGCTCAGCATCCTCGTTAACATTCTGTGTTGTCTGTGAGGGTGAAATAGCATCTCATTATGGTTTCACATTGCATTTCCCTGGTGATGAATGATCTGAGTTAGGCACCTTTTCGTGTGTGTAGTGGGCATTCCTACATCTTTTGGGGACTGTCTGTCCGTCTTTTGCCCATTGTTGTTGTCAGTGTTGTTTTTGGTTTTGACTTGTTGGAGTTTATTACGTATTCTGGATAGGAATTCTTTGTCAGACAGATGCATGATAAATGTACATGGATAGAGGAATGAAAATTTTAAAATATTTTACAGTAGCATCTAAGACATAAACTGGTTGGGGTGACTGGGTGGCTCAGTTGATGACTCATCTGACTTTTGATCTCAGCTCAGGTCTTGAACTCAGGATTGTGAGTTCATGCCCTGCTTTGGGCTCTATACTGGGCTCCATGCTGGGCATGGAGCCTACTTACAAAACAAAAACAACAGGAAAGCAAACAGGCTAGGAATAAGTATCATGATAAACATGAAATACCTTTACACAGAACACAAAAAAAACATTGTTGAGAGGAGTTCAAGAAGACTGAAATAAAGGGGGGGGTATGTTTTGTTTATGCATTAGAAGATACAACGGTGTTGAAATTTCTGTTTTCCATGATATATTCATGCACACAATGCAATCCCAGGCAAAATCCTAGCCTTCTTTTTACTCTATTTTAGAAAAAATGACCAAGTTGATTCCAAAATGTACATGGAAATACCAAGGACCTAGTTAGCCAAAAAGTCTTTAAAATAATACAGTTGAAGAACCTACACTGCTTATTCCCGCTCAATTTTAAGACTAATTTTAAAACCACAGTAATCAAAGTCTTTGGGATAAAGATAGATCAATGAAACAGAACAGAGAGTACAAAATAGACCAATTGCAGCAAGTACTGTCGATTGATTTTGGCCCAGAGTGTCAAGTCAGTTCAATGGGGGAAAGGGAAGTCATTTAAAATTTTTTTAAGATTTATTTATTTATTTGAGGTAGAGTGAGAGATCATGACCAGGGAGGAGGGGGAGATGGAGAAGCAGACTCCCCGCTGAGCAGGGTGCCAGATGTGGGGCTTAATCTCAGGACCCAGGGATGCTCCCAATGGATTGAACCACCCACGTGCCCCAGGGGAATCTTTATAGTGAATAATTCTGGGTCAACTGGATATTGAAGGGGAAGCAAAACGGACCTCGTCCCCTACCTCTTTCTACATAGAGACATAAATTTGGGAAGGATCATAAACCTAAATATAAAAGATTTAACCAACTCGTGTCACTCATTTTACCCTTTCATTCTGTTCAAATAAGTCTCAAAGTAATTTTTCATCAGCACAAAATTAAAATTAAATTAAAATTCTAAACAATAGGAAAAACACTGACTAACTGGAAGTGTTTCTTCTTTCTTTTTTTTAGTCTCATAATTGATGGTGTCTTAGAATGAAATATGGCATATGGGTAAGTGTAGGAAAGTTTTAAAACAGAGAGAAATTAAAACACACACAGAAACACCCCAGAAATCTCTGACGTTTCTCCAATTTCTCTGTTCTTCTTTGGCCTCCCTACCTGCCTTCTGCTACTGGAACATTCCAAGGTGCTTCCTGCCCAGAGCATTTCTATCTGCTATTCGTCCTTCTTAGAGTAAGCATAGGTTTGTACCAGGGAAGAGCACTGGAGTACCTTTTACACAGCTTTCTTCAATTCAGTGGGACTCCACACAGCCTTCCCCTTTTCAGAGAGGCCTTCCCTTTGATCTTGTCTGATGAAGGTCCTTCCATCTGCCATGCTGTTGCCATTCATCTGGCATAAGCTCTTACTTCTCTTTGTCTCTTCCCGGGTTCCCCACTGTATCCCCAATGCCTGGTACTTTGCAGACACTCAAAAGTATTGTTTGTCTGGATCAATAGTGTTAGCTGAGGGCAAATACAGAAGCTGCTCCGTGTCGTACAGAAGAGGGCAGTAGGAAGTCCAGGGAGGGGCTCCTAGAGGAAGGCAGCTTGGTCAGCTTTTCAGCAGGTACAGCTGCTCAGCGGTGGAGCGAGTGCTTTCTTTGTAGGGCTCAGGCGGTGGCTTGGTGTTGTTGACAGGTTCTTGCTCTGGATGTCAGGCTTGACCAGGTCATTTGGAAGGTTGCTTCAAACCTGACAGCCATGCTTGAGGACTAGTCTCTGGTCTGTGGTTCTTTCTCAACTGCAGATCTGGCTTTTACCACTAGAGGGCACTACATGATGCCTTTGAGGACAGGGATCCTCAAACCCCTGATAGTGAGAACGCAGTTTTCTTTTATTTATTGAAGTATCATTGATCTGCACAATATTATGTCAGTTTCAGGTGTGCAACATAGTGATTTGCCACATCTGTATATTTCTCAGTGCTCACCACCATTAAGTATAACCACCGTCTATCACAGTACAACATTATTATTATCTTGACATACTTTTCATCATTGTGAGTTATTTATATAAGTGGAAGTATGTACCTCTTAATCCTCTTCACCAGTTCCTCCCCCTGCCTTTCCTTCTGGCAACCATCAGTTTGCTTTCTGTGTTGAAGAGTCTACTTGGTTTTGTTTGTTGAAGAACTGAGTTTTCATGGCACTTACACTCCAAACATGCAGTTCAACGACAGCTTCACAAAACAATCTTTAACTCTTACAGTTGTGATGCATACTGACATTTTCTGTTTTATTGTTGTCTGTATTTTCTAAGCCAGGGTTTCGCAGACTATTACACTGATTTTATACATGGGTGGGTCACAATTCATTGTTTGAAAAGCACTGTTTTAGACAACAGAGCCTGTTCACCCTTGTAAAACTTTGTGGGTCAGATTTCCTTGACAGTCTGGGCTGGTAGGTAATTGGGTCCCTTAGTGTGTACTCAACTATGTGTTGAGTTGCTGCCTTGAGTAGCTGAAGGTATTTGCTTCCTTATGGGGTGTCTACTGCTGTGGGACAGGCAGGGAGAGAGAAGGCCAAAAAAGGACAGAGAAAAGGTCTGCTTCCTGGCATATCAGAAGACACAGCTCAGTCATTCCACTCTTCAGACTCAGAGCTGCCACACATGTCTGACTGTGCAGAATACGGCCATGGACGAGCAGGTGAGGGTACAGGGAAGAAATTTTTAGGGCTGATGAGGATGTAACTTCTGCTAGGAAACCCCACAACACCCTTCCAGAATGTTACCTCATGGAAAGAAAGGTAAAGGAGAGTCTAAAATTCCTGAAGATAATGAGAATTATTGAAAGCAAACAAAGGACAGCCTAAACACTTATATCTTGTGTAGGACTGTATTATAAGGAGCTTTCCCTCAGGGCATCTGGGTGGCTCAGTCGAGTGAGTGGCCAACTCTCGATTTTAGTTCAGGTCACAATCTCAGGGTCGTGGGATCAAGTCATGTGTTGGGTTCAGTGGTTGGTGGGAAGTCTGCTTCTGAATTCACTGTCTCCTTTTGCCTCTGCCCTCCTCGACCATTCTCCCTCACTTTCTCTCAAATAAATAAATATATCTTTTTTTTTTAATGGGTTTTGCCATGCATCAGATACTTGACCCTCAGAAGAATTGTGAATAAGGGGTTACTGTGGAGGGAAAGCTATCCAGAGGCACACCTGGAGCCTCTAAAGAATAGACATCTTCTTTCTGGGCTTTGGCAAAGGAGCAAAACGGCTATGGCATGTAACACTTACACTTTTGATTCTGGGATCCCTAAGCCCATTTGACACTCTATTCGTCAGGAGCTGACATGTCACAGGAGGTGTGGAGGACACCCAAGACTGGGCCTCGCTCCTGGACAGCAGCCAGGAACAGCTGTGAGGAAGGACAACCCTCAGATTCAAAGGGGATCCTGCAGGGCCGACCATGGCACAGGCTGCCCAACGTGAGACCCATCCCCTGTGTCCTTGATCCTTGGGTTGTGTGGAAATAAAAGTTGGGAGACACAGAGAAGCCAGCGTCCCTTAAAGGGGTTCACTACCCCATGACTCTTTATCTGTGATGGTAGTGGCTTTCCTGGGCCCTACTGCTGCCTGCTGCCTCAAGGCAGAGCTTTCAACTGTCCTCAAAGTCTTGGGCCCGAGATCATACAGAATGAGCTCCCACCATGGTGCAAGCAGAAAGCCTGTGACCGACTCCTAAGCCTCTGCTGGTACAGACTGAGGACATCCAGGGTGGAAGGTGAATGAGACCATGAGACTGGCAGACAAAATTTTCTCCACACTGTCTAGAAGCACAGATCTCTCAATTCAGGGATTAGCAAACTTGCTGTAAATGACCAGAAAGTATTTGAGCCTTTGCAGGCCAGATGGCCTCTCCTCGAACTACTCAACTCTGCTGTCGTGCTGTTAAAGCAGCCATAGAAAAGACTTAAAGTAAATGGGAGTTGCTGTGTTGCAATAAAACTTTATTTACAAAGACAGGAGGGTAGGTGAAATCTGGCCCTTTCAGCCTGGGCTCCAAAGTCCAACAGACATTTTTTTTTTTTTCCCAAGGAGATTAGAGGTTTTTAAAAAACACACACACCACACACACATACATACACACACAGTTACATGTGCCCTACCCCTTTCAGCTTACTGATCAAGGAAATCAAAATGAGGTAATGTGCTCAGATATCACTTAAGGTCCTTCAGGCTGTAACAGAAGACCAACTCCATTTGATTTATTACTTTTTTAAAAAGGTTTCTTTATTTCAGTGAGAGAGAGTAGTTGGGGAAGGGCAGAGGGAGAGAGAATCCTGAAGCAGACTCCCCACTGAGGATGAAGTCTGATGCTGGGCTGGATGCCAGGACCCTGAGATCATGACCTGAGCCAAAACCAAGAGTTGGCCACTAAACTGACAGAGCCACCAGGAGTCCCGCCATTTGGTTTAAATGGTAAAGACATTTATTAATTCCCAAGATATACATTGAGGGGAAAGGTCACAATGGCTTCACATGGCCAGAGGCAAGTGACTCCCTCCCACCCAACATCCCCTCATCATCCCAGAGGCCTGAGGTTATAGGGATTCATTGTTCCAAAGAGAGAGTTCCAGTGTTCACTCTCTCCAGTAGGAGAAAAATTAAAAATGAAAGTGCTCATTTCCCAACATTCTCACCAACACAGTGTATTAGGAACCTTTTCATTGTGGTTAATCTGATAACTAAAAAATGGTATCTTACAGTAATTTTATTTTATGTTATTCCTCTTTTGGGGGGCTGAAGTTAAGGATCATTGTTATATGATTAAGAGCCATTTATATTCTCTTTGACTGTGAACTGTTCATGTAAAGAATTACTTTTTTGTCTTTTTTAAAGTGATAGTAACACTATTAGGCTTTGCAAGTCCTTTCTATCAAGTCCGTGAAAGGATTTGAGATGAGAGGGTGACTCAGTCTCAACCAGATTGAGAAATTGGCCAAATGACCCCAGTCCTTGGGCTTGTAGGGAATCCTGGCCCTAAAGATGGAGCCTATGGCTAGATTCTGTAAGAAATGCAAAGAAAGTTTAAAGGGGTGGTCTCTGACAATTAAGGACATGGATCTTACTTTGAGCTGAGGGTGAACCCAGGCTTTAGGAAGATGGGAGCCAGGCCTGCCTAGAGGTCTGAAGCCTCCGTCCCGGGCTCCTGAGGCAGCTTTCCTAACCAGTGTTTCAGAGGCAGGAACCCGCCTTGGAGCCCTGGGAGCTGGGTGCCCCAGGCAGCGTGTCAGCGGCCTGCCTGCCTTCTTCCTCTGCCTGGGCTGGTATCTCCAGACTGCAGCACACTAAGAGAGTGCTTCCAAATAGGGTGTGGTGAGCATCTTTAAAGTTCTTGTTTCAATATCCAGTCTGTTGTGGATGATATTCTGTAACATACAATAAAAATGATTCCCTAGAAACATGAAATGCAAGATAACCTGTAAATTACAAGCTCAAATTATTTATTAGGAGAATCAATAGACATAGAACTCCTATATCACATTGCAGTATGTTTCTAAATGCTACTCAAATTTCGTTCTTAAGATAGTTATGCTTTAGGCAGCAAGGCTTTAGAACACAGATTTTATCTTCCTTTCCCCCTCTTATTTCCTATCTCCCTTACTCAAGCTCTCCCCACCCTGGAGCTGAATAAGTCCATTTTGGGGGCAATGTTTGCTCGTGCCTTCCTCTCCCATAGATGGTCTGTGACACCAATTTGTAAACATAGAAACTTTTACCCACATATGATGGAGATGATGGGAACATAGTAAGAAATACAGCTTTATTTTATTTTGTTTTGCTTTGCCATTTATCTGCCCCATTTTCTGACCGCAAAATATTATTTCATCATGATCTCGCATTTAGAGTTTTAGTTGAGTCCTAAGTGTCTTGTACGTGGCCACAAAAAAGCGTATTTCAAAGAGGAACATTTTAGATCTGATGTTTTGATGTAAAACACTTGTCTTTCCTTTGTAAAATAATGGGACGTTTTATTTTAATTTTTAAACATTTTACTTATTTATTGGAGAGGTAGAGCATATGCGGGAGGGGTAGACAGGTAGGGAAAAGCAGGCTCCCAGCTGAGCAGGGAACCCATCGGGGCCTAATCCAAGGATCCTGAGATCCTGACCTGAGCCAAAGGCAGATGCTTAACCAAGTGAGCCACCCAAGTGCCCCAAGGGATATTTTATTTCTCATATCTTTAATTCTACCATTAAATCATTAAATAGGTTGTACTTACTTTGGTTCCAGCAGCTTTAAGTTAAAAACAAAACAGAACAAAAAAACAAAAAAAAAAAAAGGAAGAAAATGAAAGTCCTGATTTCTCCCATGAAGTCCTCAGATAAATCACTGACCCCAAAGAAGAGCAGCAAAATCCTCCTTAGCTCTTCTGCTGGGGCGGGCTCTGCAGGGATGATTTCTGACCTCATTGAGTGATAGCTTGTCTCTGTGTCTCTCTCAGGATATTTTGCTCGAGTCCATGGCGTCAGTCAGCTGATAAAAGCATTTCTACAGTAGAAAGAATGTCATTGTCAAATTCTAAATCTTGGGACTGGGATGGAGACCACCTTCTGGAGATTAAAGGTAAATGAACATTCGCCCTCTTCTTTCCTGAATTGTTTCATTTGTGAAGGTGCTTGTCTGGATGAAAATGTTAAACATTTATTCAGAGGGAATGCGGTGACTGCCAGTCTTGTGCCCGTGTCCCCAGGTGCTGCTTCCATCAGCCACGTACTTGATGTCACCCAGGCCCTGGTGAAGGACGGGCAACTAGCTTCTCTTCCTTTGCTGTTACAAACAGGGCTTTTGATAAAAACACTTGTAGACGTGTCCTCTGCACGTGTGAAAGACCCTGACAGTGGGATTGTGAGCCCCAGAGCCCCTGTGTCTGCCGTAGCGATGATCACAAAGATTTTATTGTCATCGCGACAGTGTCTTCAGTACAGTTTAGAGATGTGCAAGGCTGGTGATAGTGACATGACACAGAGACCTTTCGTAGCTGTTCCCTGATTTGATCCCTCACCTGCTCTGTTAACGAGCAAGCACAGGTATAGCTACGCTCACTCACAGGAAACGAGACGGGTCCGGTTAGTGGCAGAACCAGGACCGAACAGACTGCAGGTCCCGCAAGTCCAGGTTGCTTCCTTGTTCTCTGTCCAGAGCCTTGTGCTTGCTCAGGGGGGTCTTTGCGGTCCATCAGTCGGTGGTGCCTGTGCCTCAGTGACCATCGTGTGGTGGAAGGAGCTGGAGCAGAATTCAGGGGCAGAACGTGTGCATGTGAGCAGAAGCCACTGGAGGAATGCCTCCTCTCGGCCCCACACCCTTTTGACTTGGTCCCGAGGTTTGGTTTCTCCTTCATGTCATGTGGTTGGGTTGATCAGGAATAAATCTGACATTTTTATTTCTGGTCCAGGCACATTGAGGCTAGGTAATCCTTCCAAGAAAAAGGTAATCTGCCAGTAGTAAGGAAGGCACATAGCACAGGGTAGGAAAGATGTAGTGGAGGTGTTTTGGATTGGTCCAAAGGGTTTTTTTTTTAAAAATCTAGTCTTCTTGAAAAAAAGAATGTTTGTTTGCTCTTCAGAGCCTAGGCCAAAAGGGCCAGATTTTGCCTACCCACCTGTCTTTGTAAATAAAGTTTTATTGCAACACAGCCACTCTCATTTATGTAAGTCTTCTCTATGGCTGCTTTACCAGCACGACGGCGGAGTTGAATAGTTTAAGGAGAGGCCATCTGGCCTGCAAAGGCCAAAATACTTTCTGGCCATTTACAGCAAGTTTGCTAATCCCTGAATTGAGAGATCTGTGCTTCTAGACAGTGTGGAGAAAATTTCATCTGCCATTCTCATCGTCTCATTCACCTTCCACCCGGAATGGTCCCCCGGCTGCACTAGCAGAGGCTTAGGAGTCAGTCACAGGCTTTCTTGCACCATGGTGGGAGCTCATTCTGTATGATCTTGGGCCCAAGACTTTGAGGACAGGTGAAAGCTCTGCCTTGAGGCAGCAGGCAGCAGTAGGGCCCAGGAAAGCCACTACCATCACAGATAAAGAGTCATGGGGTAGTGAACCCCTTTAAGGGACCCTGGCTTCTCTGTGTCTCCCGATTTTTATTTCCACACAACCCAAGGATCAAGGACACAGGGGATGGGTCTCACGTTGGGCAGCCTGTGCCATGGTCGGCCCTGCGGGATCCCCTTTGAATCCAAGGGCTGTCCTTCCTCATAGTTGTCACTGGCTGCTGTCTGGGAGCAAGGCCCCATCCTGGGTGTCCTCCACACCTCCTGTGACACGCCAGCTCCTGAGGAATAGAGTGTCAGACGGGCTTAGGGATCCCAGAATCAAAAGTGGAAGTGTCACGGGCCACAGCTGTTTTGCTCCTTTGCCAAAGCCCAGAAAGATGTCTGTTTCTTAGAGGCTCCAGGTGTGCCTCTGGATAGCTTTCCCTCCACAGTGACCCCTCATTCACTGTTCTTCTGAGAGTCAAGTTTCTCATGCCTGAGAAAAACTTTTTTTTTTTTTAAGATATATTTATTTCTTTCAGAGAGAGGGAGGGAGAATGTTCGAGGAGGGGCAGAGGCAAAAGGAGACAGGTTATCCAGAAGGAGACACATGATGCAATCCCACGACCCTGAGATCATCCTGAAACTGACACACGATGCAATCCCATGACCCTGAGATCATGATCTGAACCAAAACAAGAGTTGGCCACTCACTCGACTGAGCCACTCAGACGCCCCGACGCTCCTTATAATAAAGTAAGAAGTCCAGCACACGGTATAGGAGTGTATGCTGTCCTTCATTTGCTTTCAATCATTCTGATTGTCTTCGGGAATTTTAGACTCTTCTTAACCTTTTCTATTGTGGGAGTAACATTCTGGAAGGGCGTTGTGGGGTATCCTAGCAGAAGTTATGTCCTCCTCTTCCCTAAGCATAGCCTCCTAGTAGCCTGAGCCAGCTCATCCATCACCACGTTCTGCACACAGACAGACATGAGTGGCAGCTGTGAGTGTGAATGGTGGGGATGGCTCAGCCTGCGTCTTCTGATATGCCAGGAAGCGGTCCTGTTCTCTGTCCTCCTGTCTCCTTCTCTCTCCCTCCCTCTCCTTCAAACCAGACCCCCTGAGATTTTCCACAAGGGAAGGCGGTAGCTGGACCTATAGATCTGACACTCACCCTTTGGGGTCACCTCTTACTAGGAAGTGCTTTCTCATGATTTCTGCCCCCATCATGCTGACCCTGGGGTCGGCGACCCCGCAGTATCTGCTTTCCATCACTGGTTACTGTCTGCATGCCCGGTGTTCTCCTATGTGCCATTGCTCCTGTCAGAAATGGGAGTGTCATCCCAGCCTGCAATAGTGACACCACAACCAGATTCTGGATACCAGCACCTGTCTTTTCTTTTGTCTTTTCCCATTGAATGAACTGGTTCTGTATTTCTGGAATACAAGTACAGGTGGACACGGGTGTTCAAAGAATACATGGCGAGGGGGGATGCTGACCTGGTTAGCAGGTGTGGAGCACCTTGTTTCTTACCAGGCCTTAGGGCCATGAGGAGCTATTGCAGGCAACACACAGAGGCCAGAAAGGGGTGTCTTTGCAGCTGGGAGTTGAGGAGAGAATGCATTCAAGAATAGTCGTCAGGGCTGAGTGACTGGACACGGTAGACATGGAGAGAATGTGCCAGGGCGTGACCAGGCTGGGGACGCAGATGGGGGACCGGGACCGTGAGTATTTGTGTCTGTGTCTCTGTGTGGGTGTGTGTCTTTGCATGTGTATCCCAGCGTCTTTGTCTCTGTGTGTCTCTGTGGGGGGGTCTCTGTGTCTCTTGAGTGTCTCTGTGTGTGGGTCTCTGTGTAGATGTGTTTCTTTAACTCAGTGTACATGTTTGTGTGTTTCTGTGTGTCTGTCTGGCTTTCACACTTTCTTTACTGCAGCCCTCAGTAGAAATAAATGTACAGCCCAGGCCAGGCCCCACATCTGTATATGTGTGTCAGTACATCATAAAGGCCTGCCCATGCTGCTTACTCTGGCAGGTCCTGCTTTGAGTGTTGCTAGAGTATTTATTTCTATAGGACTCCTCACAGCCCTGTGAGGTGCTGTCATTTTCTCTACTGTGTGGATGTGGAAAGCTTGGCCCAGGGAGTTGAGTGACTTCCCAGCACCTCGTAGCAGACAAGTGGCTGAGCTGGGATCTGAACCCCATTCCCCCGCTCCAGAGTGCCTGCCCTTTCCCCCCACCACACTCTCCTCTCACAGGAAAAAGTAAATGTAGCATAAGACAGTGCTTGCCCTCACCATGGCGGGTGCTTTGTGATATTTTCTGTTGTATCCTATTTGATCCCCCACATGCTGGTCCCACCCCACATTGGTTTCCTGACCCTCCCTAATCTGTCTCAGTCTGCTTTTTGGCAAAGTCTGTTAGGCCCTACTTCTCCAGGGCCTCTCAGTGCCTCCCTATCTCCATGCCAGTGGCTGCTCCCCCAGTTCTGGCTCCCCATGACTTCCTCCCTGGACCTTCCTCCTGGACGGCTATGAGAACCCCCTAACTTTCATCCTCCATCCGTTCTCCACACAGAGACCGAAGTCACCTGGAACATGCTTTTTTCACCATATCGTTCCTGATTTGGGCCTGAAATACTCCATTGCTATTTGGGTCTTAGTACTCAGTACATGAAGATGGTCAGTAAATGTACGAGGGAATATTGAATTAGAAAACTTACTGTGTATTTTTCCTCAAGATGAAGATCTCCCAGGAAAATATTTTGAGGTCCACTTTCCAGTGATGGTCACGAGAAAGCTGCACTGCATCAGGTAAGTGTGGCTTGGACCAGACAACAGATCCGGGTAGATTCAGAGGCAGCAGTCAGTAGGGGGCCGGTCTGCTTGCCAGGGACCTCATTTTAGAGGGCTCGTCCCTTGAACCCCCTCCCTGCTTTCTTGCTGGCCCTGGGATCCTCATTCCAACCTGTGGAGCAGTCTTCCAAATGCAGTACACCCTCCGTTGCGACTATTTTGTCCGTGGACGTCATTTCTCTGAACCTTGAAAAGAAATGACCTACAGTAGTTTAATCATCTGAATTGTTCTGTGTGTTTTGTCTACTTTGTTATCTCCAGGGTATAGAAAGGTGCCCAGCCCAGAGGAGATGCATAGTAAATATTGTTTGAGTGAATGAGAGGAGGCTAAACTTAGGCATTTAGTATATGTGAGATATTCCGGGTGCCACCCTGAGGCCAGGTTTTAAGAAGTTTGCAGAGCTGTCAAGGATGAGTTTGTGACTTTCTGCTGGGAGCTTTTGTAGCACCATGTGAAATGCTTCACTCGGATCATCTCATTCAGTGCTCAGAGCAGACTCGTGAATTCAACCCAGGCTCAAAGCAGTGAAGTGACTTTCCATCATGGCACCTGTAGAGGAAGGGGTGGAGTTGAGATTGAACCCTGGCCCAAACTGCTAGAGCTCCTTTAGCAGTTCAGTAATGTGTCAGGATACAAAATCAATGCACAGAAATCAGTTGCTTGCTTATACACTAGCAATGAAAATATAGAAAGGGAAATTAGAGAATCAATTCCTTTTACTATAGTACCA